ATGCGCATTTGTACGCTTTGTCTTCTATTTAGGTCCGAAGGAATCACAATTTTGCCTTCAATTCACCAAAGTTTTCTCATCCTTGCAATAGGCGGCAAACTATTTTAAATCTCACTAGGTTTTTACCATTGCTTGCATGTTAGAGGTCGAGCACTTTGTACATATCCGAAAAACAACCCTGAACGCGTTCGGTCACGCTGCGTCTCAGTGAAGCATGCGTGGTATTTCATTTTCGTTTGCTTTGTTTACCCTCCTCTATGACGAGATGGTGTTCAGTGCTTGCGTTTGCGTAAGCCATACGTCTGTGAATACCAAATGTCCATTTTAAAGCCTGTTTTATCTTAAATAAGGTCATTTAATGAAGTGATTTGTGAAACCAGGCATCCCTTTACATCCATGCAGTTCCTCTCCCTGAAAAATTGTGAGAACTTATTGAATTTTCTTGATAAATTCCAATTACTCTGGACGTTCATAAACACCGTTGTGCGTATGATCCCACTTACACATATTTTTAAACAGAACTGGTGGGACAAACTGTATGCTAATTACATTTCATTAATCGTACATTTCCCTAAATCGAATGTTACTAAATTTGAATGTGGCTTTGAGATAATGAGACAAAATGGACGTAGAAATTTATGCTGTAGTCAATAGTTCCCTATCCTACAAGAAAGTAGAATTTTTAATTTAAGAAGAGTATTTATGCACGGATTCTGCAATTCGGTACCCATTGATTTGACAACCAAGTCAGAGAGTGAAATCAACTCACAGTGCTTCAAAATGTTCATACTTTTTCTAAAAGTATAAATCTTGTTATTGCAGGGTTTTCCCACTACCTCGGAAATAAGGCCCCCATTGGGTTATTGAAGCTTGTCTAGGATTGGCTAGATTATGCTCCAGTAGAAAAGGCGGGTTAATTGACAAGGGATTTCACGGCCATATTCTTTTATTCATCGCTCTCTCTATTTTCGAATTGCTGCAGATAAGGTATGGTGATTCTTAACTATATGGGCACAGTACAGCTGCACAATGCATTTCAACATCGCTCCTGTCCAAAATGGCAAAGCCTACTTTGATTAATAGCGGGTTTGTCACCAAACACCCTGCCTAAATCTTTAAATAATTTCCATGCTTAAATTGCGGAATGACTATTGATCTGTGTAAACATTTTATTACTCTGCTTTAATGTGCTTACCATGTGATATGCAGTCGAATAAACACGGTTCCAACATGCCACTGCCTTATGCTTTCTACTAACCGGATGTGGCAGTCATTCTTTGTAATTTTAAGTGTTTTGAGATGTTTTATTTTGAGAAAAAATTAGCGTCGCATTTGTCTCGCCTGAGATTCATTCTGAGCTGTAACTTTCAGCATTAAATGAACTCGACGCATACTCATTCATACAATTAGAGTACCAGGTGCTCATTAACACATCAAATAAATTATAAGTTTCTATTGGTCTTGCCATTAATCAACAGGTTAAACCTATGTATCAATCAGATTAGTGTGCATTTTGCCTGAATTTTATACATATTATATAGTGGAGTAGAATGCCCATTCAAAAAAAGATCTCTCCGTCTCTCCTTTCGTGAGGATTTATTTATGTAATCAAATGGTAGATTAAGTAAATTTCACGCTGCCTAGGATAGGCCACTCCATCCAGGTGGACTGGTTCTTTTCTTTGGTCAACCTGTTTTAAAATGACTACATTAATAGGTACCGCCGCAAGTTAAAAAAGCCAGCCTAGGGCGTTCAATCTATCTTCGTTGGCTCGAGCTATCACATTTCCCAAAGAAACACTTTTCCTAAAAAGCCCCAAATTTAGACCTAGTTTTAAAAAATAGCTTTATTCGTTTTGGTTATTTTGTCATTTTTTGATTTTTTGGGATTTTGAAGCTTATGGTTACTTTTTTGTAAACTCAAAAATAAAGTGTAAAGCACAAAATAGTATATTCATGAGAAATTTGTTGCCTGCCTTAGGAAAGTCTTCAGGGTAAGCTGACATCTAAGAAAATTATTTTGCTGTCTTCAATATATTTGTTTCATCGCCAGAAATCGCACACTTAAGTATCTCATGGTTTTGGAAGTATTTCCGCCTACCTTACATTCGGTGCATTTCAGGATATTATGTATGCTTCTAATGATTCAAAACTTAAGAAAATTTCAAATGAGAAGTTACACATAAAATTGTCATTGTGATGATTCTCATATAATATGGCATTTTCGGTTTGAGGACTTAGACACCAATTTCGTGGGAACAGAAATTTCTTGACCATAAGAAGGCATTCTTATTTGGCGTGATCCTTAAAGACAAATGACTGTCGGAACTAGCATGCGTGCTCGCAAATGCGCCTTGTCTCTACTTAGGTCTAAACACTGTTTAGGCCTGCCGCTACTTTAATGGAGGTAAATCAAATGAAACCATCAGTAATATTTACACTAAGTGAGAGCCGATTTAATTACCGATTTAAACAGTTAAGACTCTGACTAATGCGCCAAGACTGCACGACGCGCTGCAGATAACTGGGCACCAGTTTGGCGATAAATCCAACTAGCGGTAACGACTGCTCGTTGAAGTAATTGGCTAGCTTGGGATTTTTCTTCCTGCGTTGCACTTACAACCTGGAGTATATTTCTACTGATTCACACTCCTAATCAGTGTCAAAACTTTGGCGGCATGTCCTCGTCGTCGGTTGTAGCAACTGATGTAGTATGCATGTTTAGCTTAGGCAATTTGACTTTTGGCTAGAACAGGATTAATGAAAGTTCCTCCTTTTAATTATTGGACGATCATAGTTAAGCAAGCCGAAATGAAATAAACTAATATTTCTAGGGTAGTTACCATATTATTTTATGCCCCTAATCTGTCCTATTTTCGATATGGCTAACCATCCATTGGGAAAATCCTCATGTAATCTTGTCACTATTTTGGAAGCGGATCATTAATATGCATTTTTTGCGCAGACTACCAACAATCGATTCTTCATGTCTGAATTTTACAACTGCCGTTGACTAGATACCAACTCCGAGAGTCGGAAGTAGTTTCATGGAATCAAGAGTGGTGTACCATTTTCTAATTTCGATATTGTTTTTATGCTAGCTTCCCCATAAAAACTTGTCAATATAAAGTGTTTACGCTAAGTGATGAACGATTTAAAAAGGTTATTTAAATGAATTGTTTGGAACCATGAACTTCTTGGTGTGAGCTAAAAACCAGTCCTGTTGTTTACTGCTTAATTCTCTTCAAGTAGCATCTTAGTACAATTTAAACCTTTTTTTTATTCTAAGACGTTTCGCTAATCTCGAAATATTACCGTAATAAATGTGCAGCGATCCAGCTCTTTAACCCTTGATCTGTTGCATTTGGATTACGCTTCTTTTGTCATAGCTTATCGGAGAGTCGCATCATGAGTTTCAGGCGTTCACAGTACTCATGTGTGTTATGGTTTTTTTTCAAGCAGCGCCTTCGAAAACTCCGAAATTAGAGCACTAACGCATCAGGTAACCAAAGAGTTAGTTTTCGGTACAGCTCACTGAGAATTTCACTGTATTTTACAATGCACTACAAAGTGTAGGCTTGCATTCTTAAGTCAGTACTCTCTGTCCAGCTGTGCTGTTTGTATGCCCTCAATTTATGGAATGTCTGTCATACCCAGAGGATGCGATTCCAGCTTACCACTTTGTAAATCGGGTTTAATTTGATTCTAAAGCCGTAAAAACTGGATCCTCGAATAATTTATTCTATGGCATTTTGAGCAGGTACTGAATGTGGCAGCTGAATGCAGTATTAAGAAGCACTTTAAAAAGTGATCCTCCTGATGAATCGCAAGGATGCCACATTGCACCCGGAAAGATTCTCTGCTACTAACAACGAGAAATTGCGTATCCCTACTGAGACTGATTAACTTACCAAAAACCATAGTGATCAAACAAACCATTGACATCTGCATCAGATGAGATCCCGTTCAGGTGCATCAAGGACGAATAGTGCAAGCTTGGGAAACTATCAACTTCTTTTTTACTCCTACACTTCACGACATAGAGCCTTGGCATTTCGAAATTGCCTGTCGGTTAGCTTACAACAAGGAGTAGTTTTTGTAGTCCAACGTTAAAAAAAGAAGCAAATCATATACTGTCTATTCACCCCACACTAGTAAGCCAGCACCCTCAGAACACCCTATCTTGTGTGTGAACATGTACAGAAGACTAGGGATGAAGCCTTTCTCTTAAGGAAATCATAAGAAAAATCAAGAGAAATGCGAATTTTGAAAGTGAAAGGCAAGTAATGCTTGATTCCCATCCTGCTCATTTTCTTCTATAACGTATCTTCAAGTAATAAGCAAAAGCATAAAAGCTATCAGTTTTTCACTTTGAAAAAGGGTAATGAGTTACAGTTGTAATTACTTTTAATAGACGTGAATGTTTTCTACCCCTTTACTTAGCTTGTATGCAACAACCGGTATGACCCCACTTAATGATCTTATTCACTTAATATTTGGTTCACTTTTCATTCATTCTATCAACCCCTTGACAACTATTAACAACTAAAAAATGAGATTAATGCAAATACGAAAGTCTTCACCTTCCCTGTCATTAGTTTCAATTTCCCTTTTAAAAGTCCTTTGCTATGAGCAAAGCTTATTGGCTTCGTAGATCTATTGTTCCACACCTAGTTCCTCTTTTACCCTCCCTTAGTTCCTATGATCCTACTACAGGAAAAACGGATTAACTTCTTCTTGCCAATGCTGAATGGGGACCGAGATACCTTAGTTTCATGGTTAAAATCCGTCCACCTAAACTAAAAACCGTGCTAAGAGGGACTACCGACCACAGAGAAACATGAAAATGGACAATTAAGCAAGGAAAGAAGCATCAATTTACAGACGTTTAACCAAATACTCAAAGGAATATGAACAGTTTGGAAGAGGTAAACACACGGAAAGAAAAAGGGGGCTAAAAATACAACCAAAGAGAAGAAGGTATAGCACAGCCATTGAGGTCTACATTCCCTTTGGGGAAGACTGATGTATTACTTCTCGCATGTCAATCATTCCTGGTATGGGGCGCAAACGCTTTTCCAGTGGTGGAAACAGCTCAGAGTCCCTTATAGCTTCGGCAGATCCAGGAACGCAGTCAATCATGGTCAAGAAACGACCTCCATCTACAACGAAGCTTGCGATCAACTCCGGGTATGCTGTCCTCCACATTTTTCTCTCATTTGGTATTATCAGCGTTCCATCCTAAAAAGGGTAGACAGTATCTTAATAGTCATTTTGGTCGACTTTTATGCAAATGAATGGTATTTTCGGAGAACGAGATGTCCTACCTTTTCCAGCAACTGCCGGATTCGCCTGACCCTGCGAATCGTGGGGGAGAGGTCGATTGCCAGACCGATGACACAGTTATCATTTCGACGCTTTACACGCTCGATCAGATACTCTTCATAATCAGCCTCGTTCCATTCCACTATCTGCGGCTTTGAATGTTTGAGAATCTCGTTCGCAAAGGGCACAATCTGTTAAGAGGATAAGAAACAACAGTCAAATGCACCTTGGATGCATGTGTTTATGTAATTTAAGGGTGTGGTTCTGTGATTTAAACTATTCTCACTAGGTGGTTTACGAGCAGTGGATGTAACCATCACGCTCAAACAAGGTGATTAGCACAGCCACATGACTGTGACGATAACGAGTCACAGGAAGGTGTAGATTGGCAAGTCATATTAGTATAGGCATGTGTGATAGGTGTTTAGAAAATAAGTGAATAGATTAACTTACATCCTCAATAGCCACGATTATACGTGAAAGTATGAATGGATCATCGCTAACCGCTTCTGAAACAGCATTTACACACTGTCTCAGATCGGCTGCATCTCCACAGAGAAGAACTCGAACATTTGCGGGGTCTTATAAAAATGGAAAGGAAATTATTAACTCTGCTAAAGCAATTAATGTCTACAATCAAACAGTGATAGCTAACCTGTCGTAATTCCACTATTTCCGTTTAAAGGCTCGATGTCTGTAGAGAGATAAGAAAAAGGGTCAGAAATTCGACAAATTCATACAAGGAGATTGGTGTAAATGTTATAGGCCCTATGGCATTACACTTACCTCGCCTGAAGGTGTTCAGACTGGAGACAATCGCGCGAACCATGAACTGCATCTGAGGTGAAATGTGGGTGATTTGTATGATGTCGTAGGGTTCGAAGGGGTCACGATTACCTAGGGTTTTCGTTTTTGGAGGCATTCTGTCTATGATGAAAGGGTTTTCGAGTCCACTTTAAATAGGTTGACGGGCTCGACGCAAACCAATTGTTGGTCTCGCCAGGTGCCGGTGTACCTACTCATATCACACGCGGCAGTGGTGATTGGATGATCGTGTGAACTAGGAGCATGGGTGCCACCATATGACCTTGGCACCTTTTCCAATCATGTGCGGCGTTGGAATGCACAGGGTGTCATCAAGGTAGTGCATGCGCGTCCGTATACGTGAACACAAGGCCATTTGTGACATAGCAGGCGCATTTTTAATCACATTGGGTGCCGCAGAGGAGAATAGGCAGTGTGCACGCAAGCCTAGTCATACTTTGCACATTAATTGGGCCCCTTGATCATGGATGCAGAGCGTGATAATGAAACCCACATTGCTGTCAACTTTTCGAAAACAAGTCTCATGGTAGCATTAGATATCACACTTTCTTTGGAAAATTCCCAGAAGGAGAGGAGAAAAGTGGGAAGGCTCATCCCCAGTAGCATTCTTCGAAAAGTCTTCCTAAATTTATCGGCGTGGCATGCTTTAATTGGCTGTAGACAGTGCTACAATTTAAGTTCATCGAAATTGGGTACATACAAAGCAGTATCCGTGAGGAATGCATAGTGGTGTTGCACTTTAATGGGTGTGGCTGGTTTTCGTCACTGAAATTTGCGCTACTAGGATGTAAGTGGTTGAATTTGCAATTTGGTGACGTCCACACGATTAATGTATCTACTGGTCTAGTAAACGCTACTCTGGGTCTGCGGTGTGTCTAAATGACCATGTATTTTGTAGAATATACGAAGTTGAAAGGCAATCCTGAACGCGAATGAGACAGACTGTCAATCCTTTTGTAGTGTTCCAAAGTTGTACAGATCATGATTGTATCAGGCAAAATAAGTAATGATTACAAAACAAGTGACTTCAAAAAACTAGCCAGGCATCAGTGGTTTCCATTTTCAAACATAAAAGCCAGGTATGCATATTTGAATGACATTTCAAAGGGAACTAAAAAATTGATATCGGCGTCTAATTGTGGGAGAATCCTGCCTAAATTTGAAGGTTATTTTTTGCCAATAAAAAGTCATCCATGTTAAGAAGCATCAGTCATGAGGTTTCTGATGGAAGTGACGTACTAATTATATTAGTCTACAGGGTACCGTAATCTTGGGAGGATTTGTAACGGCCATTCTTCAGTATTTGAAATCGGGTTTTGTAAGTAAGTACTTAATTTATGGGTCAGGTGGATTTTTCCTATGTTTGTACTTTTTAATTCTCCATTTCTCTTAATTCATTTTATATCCTTCTCCATTCAGATGCGTTTCTTGTCCCGTTTATTATGCTTTTGCAAATAGCAATAATGCGTTTTCTTAAGACTAGAGCTTTTCTTATGGCATTGAAAAGGAACTCAATGACGTCTGTTCCTATCGGTTTCATTGCGTACGTGCGTATTTTACGATTTACTTAGACACTGTTTATAAAGCTAAACAAACAAGACTTCGTGACAAAGGAATAGAAATTTTTCGTAAAATTTAGTGAGATTAGGAAATTTTACTCCATTAATCTCCTGGAACATTACAATATGCTACGGTATTTTTTAGGCTGGATTTGTCAGTTTCATTAATTTTTGGTTTTTTGACTCTCAGAGTTAATAAGAGCCAACGATTTTAGTATTAACTTAGATCGTGCTATTATATGAAATCATTCTATTAAATTTTATAAAAAAAATATAATGCGACGTAATGCAGAACCCTTATAACCTGTAGGGACTAAGCGTTATGTTTCTCCTGATCTCAATAGAAATTCTCAGGAGTCCGACTTTAATTGCGCTTAAAAATCCTGATTTTAATGTTTTGGTGGCCAAAGAAACGTTTTACTTAGTGCGGCAGCTTCACTAAAATAGCTGTAAAATATGTTTAGCTTGACTACGCCCTTTAGGTGATGCCTTTAGTGGTTAATATAACACCTTTAGTTTCCAATGAGTAGACGTGTCTTATTTTTCTGCTAAATTCTAACTCCCACTATAACCCTCTAATTGAAAAATACATCCTCAGCAAATCAATTAATCCAACCAAGGGTTTTTAAAACTGAGCGTAGGTGGAGAAACGGTGGGAGTTCTTTATTAAAATTAGTTTAGAGAATCTGGTACGGGTTGCTTATAATAAAAGAAGAGTGATTGGTAGAAAAATTGCTAGCACCTTCCTACTACCGCTAATTTTGCACCTTAACAACTTCAAAGAAAATAAGGCTTGTTAGAAAAGAGGAGTTTGACATTTTAAACAAGATTCTGAATATGTAATACAGTCCATTCATGTGTCGGTTTCCTCCAAAACATATATATCCCCCATCGTGCGTTCAAGTCAACGCAGCCGTGTCACTTCTGACTGTACTCAATTTCTGTTCTGGAAAAATGGCTCATCAAAATCGGTGCAAATGTCTAGTTTACCCGAATTCACCTCTAAAACATGGCAATAAAATAAAAAACTAGCATAGTCAGTAATATTCCCATGCAGACTTTTCTAATAGAAGTAAAAAGACAAATTACTGAACAACTTTGCCCGTAGTGTGCTCAAACAAACCACATGGTGAATAACTCCAAGAAATATGACTATAGAAAACGGTATAACGAGAAATAAAATATCTAGCTACGTTTTTAGTGAAAATGTATTGTAGTAATCCCAATCGCCATGAAATTGAACAGAACATTCGGCGTTGAAAAAACCTGGACTTGGAGTGCTCGCGTACTTTTCTTCTCAGCTTTTTTAGACAGACTTCAATTTATGAATATTCTTTAAAACTATACAGACTCATATAAATAGAGAATCATTCAATCACGACAAGCGCCTTAAATATGTTTTTCAACTCTTAAGTTCGCTCAAATTAATGGCTCTACAACTTACGGAACGTAAAAACCACTTATAAAGTATAATCGCTTACCAGATTCTGTAAATGCATGCAAGTTTATCGCCTCGGACAGGTATGAATCCTTACAAAACTTCTAAAACAGCACAGTTTAATCTATCTGAAAGCCTATTCTTCAATTATGTTATCCAGTGGTCACTATTTAGTAGCATTATAACTATCTTCTTACGAACTGCAAATTTTACTGGCTAATGATTTAAAAGAGACAGGAGAACTTTTTGAGACCCGAAAAAAAAAGAAATCCTTTGTGATTCCTCGATTAAATTTCTAAAGTGGAATTCAAAATAATGCTCAGCAATAATGAATAAGAAACCTTGGGATAATTGATTTCGGCAAAAGCTTTAGAAGTGAAATAACAAAGAAGAGGTGACTATAATTAACCCATAAAATTTAGAAAACTAATGAGGTTCCCCGAACGATATTCGTTATAATGGTCAACCTCTATAATTGCTTTCGCAGAATTGCAAATTACGAGTAATATCAAAGAGAAGAATTGTCGATAATGGTTGAAATAGTATTTCCAAGGATTGAGACTGCGCATGGGTTCTACAAATGCCAAAGATTTGCAAGTCGTAATTAAACTCAAAAACTGAATAAGCGAGCGAAAAATATGTATGAACTTACACAGATCTTTATAGTATTCAAAAGGTAGGTAATATTTTCTAGTAATTATTTGTTATCCAGTTGGGCTAGATGACAACCAAAGGACGTCGTTTTTCCTGTAAGAGACACCAATTTTGGCTTATAGCCTACTATCTAATATAAAGTTAGGAAAGTAATCAATGCATTACACATAACTTGTGGAAAAATCTACCTCTGAATGTAATCATAACTGAATGCTTTGGTCATTTAACTCTCGGGTGTGGTAAGGCGTCGCTTTGGGTCTCCGCCGTTGACCCTTCGTCGGGTAAGCTGGCCCCTGGGCCATGCCAGTAGCCCCAAGCCCTACTGTAATTTAAAAATACACATTCTACCCAAGTGTTACGTCTTCTTTCTCCTTCAGAGAAGTCTCGAGGCGAAACCCGATCTTATAGGGCCTATCCTGATTTCTACTGCTGGGTGATAAGCTTTAGCGGGATGAAATAAATACATATGCTACGGATGGGGGAATTAATGACGTT